CACACAGACTGTATAGTTTATGATCCGATGGTGAATATGTACAAGTCGAGGTCCAACCATAGAAAAAGCCCCCAGCCCAAAATAACGAAGAAAAGTAAAGAAAAGAAGAACCGCATGCTCAAATTACTTGGTGCTGATGTGGTGGGTAAGCATCTTACTTGTAACAATGTTTACATCTTCACACAATACAAGCACTTATATGGCTTGTTTCTTTATAAGTGCTTTCAAACTTTCATTACCTCCTTTGCAGTATCTTACGCCTTTGCCACCTCCTCACTCCTGTCTGACGATTAGTACATTTCAAAATTCAAATCCCAACTTTTCAAAGCTTTCTTTGCTACGAAGATTTATTAGTCTCATCTCAATGCTTTCTTTATTAAGCATTAATCTTCTACCAAATATGTACATGTTAGGAGATGTACGTTTAAGTTAAAAGCCAGTGTCTCTATTCATAGTTGCATATCACCTATTAACTATTTTAGATCAACTAGTTTAAACTTTAATATTGTTGAAATGGATGTACTTTTTGATGTCACCTACAAATTTTAAAACCCGTGTGTCTTGTTTCACTACATGTGTACGGATATGTCGAACGTGTTTGTGTTTCACGGCTGTCGATTTATTTGTTCTCAGGTATGAGCACAGTCCCGGAAGTCATTGTGGCGAGACATGCAGGGATGCGTGTGTTTGTACTTTCTATGGTCACGAACATCAGCTTGATGGATGAGTGCTACAACTACAAAGCAAGTCACGAAGAAGTCCTGCAGATAGCCGACAAAATGGCTAATACCATTCAAGAATTGCTAATAGACTTCATTGCTGAACTTTAGATCTGTACTTTCTTTATTATTTTTACTTACCACAAATGTCTCACATTTTTTGTCGCACATATGCTGTCTTTCTGATAGTTACTTATTAAAAAATCGGACTAACTACCTTTTTAAATTGTTTTTTATACTTTTTGCATCTGTCCAATTATTATTTGCGCACTGTTCCTTTTAAGGTAACCATCAGCCTCGTTTTATACGGCTTTATCGGTTAATCTATTCACAACAAATTCCTCTTTTTCTTTTGAATACAGCGGTTATGGCCAAACAAATCGTTGCTTGTGACACAAGATTGCTAAATGTTATATAGCTGTGTTAGGTAGCCAGGTAGCCTTAACGCCGGCATCGTGAGGCTCTGCAAAGGCACACTCCATGATGCAGTCCACGACGACGCTAAACCAAAATGGGGAGACTGGACAACCCTGACGAACGCCACTTGCTGTCGAAAAGGCATCCGACAAATCGCCGTACACCCTGACGCGGCTTGTCATGTTTGAGTAAATAGCAAGTAAAATGTTCTCCGATTTCATGGGAACACCTTTCCTTACAAGTATTTCAGACAGAATGCATCAGTCGACTGAGTCGACGCACTCTTGATGCCAAGAAATATGACTATTGTCGGCCTGTCGTACATGTGGCGCTACTCCAGCACCTGCCGCAATGTGAATGTGATCCATACTTACCCGTCCTGGGCGGAAACCTGTCTGCTCTTTTCTACTCCGGGATTCTCGCTCCCCAGTGGGGCGACGAACGAGAATTGAGGTCAGTAATTTCGTCAACACCGGCGTAAGGCTAACACCCCTGTGGTTAACGCAGTCGGTGCGGCCGCCCTTCTTGTATATCGCTACTATAATCGATTCACCCCACTTAGCTGGAATGGACTCTGCCTTCCAAACTTGTTCGAACAGAAAGATCAGTGCTTTGCAGTGGACCTCGTTTCCATCCTTAAATAGTGCGGGCGCGTGGGAATCCGGGCCAGCAGCACGAAAACGATTAAGGGCTGCGATCACGTTTCGAACCTCAGCCTCCGACGAAGTCTCTAAACTAACTGGTCATGGCTCAATCTGCAACACCTGAGTAGGAAGAGGTGCAGAATCAGAGGAACCACTGAACTGCTTTCGAAAGTATTCCATCCAACGAGCCATATGATGCTCCTTATTATGAATCCGGGCACGCATACTGTCTGATTGTCTCACTGACTCCTGGTTTTCTGGGTGCGGACGAGTTGGAAGAGCTTGCGATTATTGCCTACCGCTGTTGCTTCCACCATTTCTTGAGCCCGACTGGTCTACCCGGATGCCTTTTCAGCACACAGGCTCCGACTTACTTCGCGCCCAATAGCTCGTCTGCATTGTGCTCAGAGTCAGCCGGGAGTTTTGGATTCCAACAGGTTCACTGACCTCTAGGATATCCAGACTGGTACGGTGTTGATTGCTAGTGAGGCAGCCGGAGGCTTCTGCATCGTGCATGTCGATCGGGATACTTTTCCCCGGAATATCAGTGTCATTAATGTTATAATGCTTCTTCTTTCTCTCTGCTCTCTGCCACTGACAAATGTCGTATTGCTGCTAGCTGCCCCTTAAGACTGCGACTGCCTGACTGCTCAGTCACGCACCCAGCCAACCGACGGAATACAAAAGGCCAGGGCTAGGTAAACAGAGAGACTTATTGTATGAGACCATGGCGCAATAAATAGGTCGTAGGCAACTACTAACACAGCGATATTGGAGATACTAATTGATGTTAATTAATGCAACTCTAGTGGTTCAAGTTCATGATCCAACTTGCCGCTGATTCCACATCGATTCGCATTTTGGTCTGTACTCGAGTTCGATCTCTACTTGTAGATCGATCCACTTTTACGCCACTGCTCTCGACTTGATCGCTGGCTGTAAGCTTTCTCCATAACACTTCCCTCTTAAAAATCGGGTTACCTGGAGGTCACAACTCTTCTGACGGGAATCCACCTAGGTCCACTTGGATCCGCGAACATGACGGTTCGGGCTTCGGCCAAGACACAGTGTCGTCCGTACTTGTAACGACATAGGAATTTGGAACAGGTACGGCCAATATTGCAGAAAGTACCAGTCGTTATGGATCTCATATGACTTAGTGACCCTTTGAGTAAATCTGACTTCGTAATCCAATTGGTTCCGGGCAGCTTGACATTGGTAGAGAATGCTGGGTGGATATTTCTGTAGAATTGCAAATCCTTCAGTCTGCGTTCACAAGCAATTCTTACTTTCAGCTGCAGTGGTTCCCCTGAAACATTTTGAACCGTTAGAATTATAGGTTTGATTGACGATGTGCCAAGTCTTGCCTGGGTTGCACGAGAAAGGGTCTTGATAGCATGCAACCTTTCTGGCCGCAGCGATACCGGAACATTCTTGCGTTTCACTGTGGGCTATTTCCTCCCCCCTGAAAACTCAGCACGGAACACTGCAAAAGCCGCCTCTCTCACTGTGCCGCGATACCTGTTTTTTACTTTGGTACTCGCTTGTAATCTTGGAGTACACGCGCATCCGAATTGGTGTGCCTTGACAATGATGAATTTTGTGGGCGCAATTTCTCGCAGATTGCCTCTCATCACCGTTCCACCATGCACTCGGAGGCTTCCGTTCCGGCACATTTCCATTTACCTTTTGGCCACAAAGGACTGTATGGCAGGGCTGGGGTTCTTCTCTTAGATCTGAAACTTTTTTCTGGGTCGTGGTTCAAACTGAACAGCTTGTGGAGTTCAGATACAATTTTTGGGGATGCCAACCTCGGTTCCGGTTCGCATTCCACTTGAACGTTGAGATTTTCTGATAGCAACTGCATTAACTGCTGCTGAGATTTTTCAAACTGAAGCTGCCGCTGCTGAAGTAGGGACTGCATCTGCTCGAATGAAATAGCCATGGTTGCTCATCCCACCTCCGTCGCCACTGTTATAATGCTAATTCTTTCCCTCTGCTACTGACAACTGTTGTACTGCAGCTAGTTGCCCCTTGAGACTGCGGCTGTCTGACAGCTCAGTCACGCGCCCAGCCAACCGACGGAATACAAAAGGCCAGAGCTAGATGGACAGAGAGACATATTGTATGAGAGCGTGGCGCAATAAATAGGTTGTGGACAACTACCAGCACAATAATATTGTTGATGCTAATTGATGTTAACTAACACAACTCAAATGGTTCAACTTCATGCTCCAACTTGCCGCTGATTTCACATCGATTCGCATTTTGATCTGTACTCGCGTTCGCCCTCTAATTGTAAATCGATCCACTTTTACGCCACTGCTCTCGGCTTGATCGCTGGCTGTAAGGTCTCTCCGCAACAGTTAAGACAGCGAAAGTTCATTATGTAGTGCATCTTGGAAGGCTTGCCTGACCGAGGGCTGAGATAGCTTATCAGTTGCCAATCGAGGGAGATGCTTGGTACGCCTCTCCGTAAGTGTCATGGAAAAATGCCATCGTACCATAACATGATCAAATTTGATGCGACAACCCAGGCTGGTACCACGGCACATGCAACTTGTGGAAACGTGATCTATTTGGGTCCATCGCTGATCAGCTACAGGAGGACACCGAGTGGCACTACCACGCCCACTGTCATAAAGCGGTGCTGCTAAGAAACATATAGTGTTGTCCATACAGCTGGATCAGACGTCCGCCGTTGTCCGTACGGTCGGAGTTAAGTCCATACTTACCACCTAGCAAATTTTCTGTAGAGCTCGGACGCCTTATTATGCATGTATTTTCTTATGCAAGAACTTTGATATTTGAACTGGTAACATTACGTAGTAGCGTTTTCAGTTCGTGCTGCAATGTGTCCTTCGCAGCATCAGAGCTGCAATCGGTGAGGGCATAATCAGAAACCACAAACAAACAGCGTCTAGTTCTACTCCGCGAATCAACCTTAGGTGATGCCGTCACACAGACTGCATACAAACGGCTGTTCACGGGAATCCAATCAACCAACGATTCCTCAGCCTTGGAGCTGAGAACAATTCATACTACAGCCTGATTATTGAAGGCGTGGAGCTACTTCCTGGTGATCGACTTCTTGACTTAGAGTATGCGGACGATATTGCCCTAATCTGTGACAGCTCCTAAACATGCCAAGCAGCACTGGACCGATTAGCACTGGCTGTCAATCGTTTTGGGTAATTCTTTGCTCTATCGAAATACAAAGTCCTTCTCTAAGATTGGCAGGGACCCACCCCTGCGTTGACGCTTGGTGGTGAACATCTAGAAGTCGTTAAGGAATTCAAGTACCTGGGCAGCTATATTTATACCCGTGGTATCGAAGATGCGATTACGAACCGTATAGCAAAAGCTCGATGTATTTTTGCCAAGCTTCGCCACCTGTGGCGCAGACGCGACATCACTCTCGCCCTGAAGTGCAGAGTTTATAACGCAGCTGTCCATTCAACCCCCCTATACGGTTGTGGAACATGGCCCATCAGGTCGACAGACAAAGAGGCTCGTCACCTTCGATCATCTCTGCCTTCGCAGCTTAGCTGATGTCTGATGGAAGCACCGCATGAGCAATGAGCGTGTCCCGTTTCGCGTATTTGGTGCAGGAAGAGCAATGGAACCGCTCAGCACCATTATATCACGCATCAGGCTCCGATGGCTTGGCCACGTGTTGCGCTTGCCAGCACACCTACTCCCGCGACGTGCATTGTTTTCGCGCCGGGGGTGCGGTTGGAAGAGGAGGATGGGAAACCAAGCGATGACTTGGTCGAGAGAAATGAAAACCGTCACTTCGAAGTTGGCGTCGCTTGGTACGGGCCGACTGCTTGGCTGCCGTCCGAAGGACAATGAAAACGTTTGGTTGGACACACTTCCTGATATGGCGAAGAGTCGGTCCCAATGGCGTTTGTGTTGTTTTTTTGTCTATTCCCTTTCCTTTAGTTTCCCCCTCCATTCCCGATCTCACACAAAACGCATAATACAATATTTAACCTTATATTGCTTTCTTGGAACCCTTTTTCCAGTGTACTATTTTAGTCTCTTATCTTTTTGTATTGCGGCACATTAGCTGAGGTGTGTTTCTCATCATTAGTTAATGTGTATTGCTGATGATAACGATGAGCGTTGACGGCCGCATCAGCGTCTCTGGATGCGTGCAACCAATAGCGGGAGAACAAACCGGGTGCGGTTACTTCAACAACCCCGTGATGGTCATTGATCCTAATTTCAGACACACAACACACGTAAACGCCCAGGGTGTCTAGCGTGCGTGCGAGTGCAGCCTGTTGATCTATTTGTCTTAGAGTGTGAACGTT